ACTGAGATACAGCTTAGCCCCACAGGGTATCAATACCTCATCTTTCTGGTGGGGCTTTTATTTTACCCCCCACCCCTTGCAAGTAAGCTTGGTGTGGGGGGTAGGGAGTGGGGAAGGAAGAAACTAGAGAAGAGGGCATTCTGTTCAAGGCATGTTGAAAAATCTGTTCACTTTCTGGAAAAACAGTGTTTGCATGTGCGCTGTCTTATATTTCTGTCCAGGAGCCTGCACGGAAGGAACAAGCTAGCCACTGAACTTTGTTTAGGGTTTTTATGCCAACTGGTTCATATGGTAACTTGGATCCAAGCAAGACTTTACAGCTCTGAGCTCTCAATATAGACACGGCATGTGCAAAATGCTTGAGTGTTGCCAGTCTCTGCGGAGCCAGCTTAGAGGGACAGACCGGGACAGGCTTCTATCTTCTGGCTTGATCACTAAACTGGGTGTGTTTATATGACTGTCAACTGCTCTGGAAAAACACATAAACACAGTGTAAATATTGTGTCGTAACCGTGAGAAAGAGCAGAAGGGAATGGCGTCACAATGGGACCTCTGCTAGCTGAGCATATTTTCACACCCATCCCACCTTGTAAACACTCATGTGTTTGCAAATGAATTGTCCTCAGAAATATCATAAAGTGTGTGTGTGTGTGTGTGAGTGTGTGTGTGTGAGCGCACGCGCGCGTGCGCGCTATTTTAGCTTTTCAGATATCAAACACCTAACACTGAGAGCTGAACATGGGGGAGACAGGTATACATTGAGGTACATTTATAGCACCCACCCATATCCCAATTCTTATCCCTTAGACAAAGTAACAGGTTATGGTGCTAACCAGCTGAGTCACAGCTAACTACACTGACTTATCTATTTTTATTAGAACCCAGGTAGTTAAAGAGTCACTCGGCGTCCTCTGGGTTACCCATGTGCCCTGAATCCAAGCCTCAGAATGAAAGCTCAGGAAAGGGACACTGTTGCATGTGCAGAGTTCTGGTTGGACACCGACGCTACTTAACAAGCATAAGGTTGTGGCCAAGGTCAGTGAACTGATATGTGAGAAGGCAGTGGGAATGGCCTGTTCTCCACCAGCTTCCTGCATCAGACTCAAGAAAGGAGCTCCAGACAACACAGAGAGCCAGCAGGGTGTCTGTTTACCCAGGCTGGTCTGGGCAGTAGACAGTCCAGAGCTTTCACTCAGGATGATCAAGCGTTTCCGCTTCAGAGGACCAGAGCACTGCTGGACTGCAATTTCTGGTGCAGCTTTCTCCTACCCAGTATGGAAGATAAGAGGGGACCGTAGCCAAAGGACTAGAGAGAGCAGCACAGGGAAGTGAGCGGATGATGAAGGCGAGGGTTGGAAGTCCTCCACTGTAGACAAGAAGGCTAGGGAACTGGGGAGGGCCAGTGACGGGGGCTTTTCAGACTGGCTAAGGACATCAGCAGGACAAAACAGGCTACAAGGCAAACATTTACTTCCTTGTATGACAGTGAGAGATTAAAACAAACAAACAAAAACAACCCAGGGGATTGGAGGGGAAAAAACTATTCCTTAAGCTGAAACTCTCCCTACATCTCATAACTAGAAGTCTGCCCCTTGCTCCCTCCCCCAACCCCATTTCAGTTCCACTTCTGTCGTTGTGACAAACTCCCTGACAGCAGCAGCTGCGGGGAGGAAGGAGTTTGTTTGTGTGGCTTGTGATTCCAGGTTACAGTTCATCGTGTAGGGAAGTCACAGTGTCACAGTGTCAAGGATTTATAAACACCACATGCAGAGGAAAGAGCAGACAAAACATCCTGCTTCCTGCTTGCTCAGACTTAGTTAGTCCTCAGGGTCCAGGACCCCTAAACAAGGAATGGTGCTGCCCACAGTGGCCTGAGTCTTCTTATGTCCATCAACAGTCAAGACAATCACCAAAGACAGGTCCTCATGTCTCTTCACATAACTGAATTTGAGGGTCATGAAAGGTTTGGCAGCAGTAAAATGTTTCTGAGCAGAAGTCTAAAAATTAATTTAAAATCAGGCAATAAATGAATCTGAGGTATTTCTGTCACTCACCCGTATTGCATCAAGCAACCTCACTGCAGCCTTGGTTAGGAAGACACAGCATGTTTACTTTGCAGCATGCATGCATGCTATCTCAGCATGCAACACCACAAATGCTCTATGAGATACCTTGACAAGGATTCAAGACTATTGGATGTTTTTATTGCACCTATGAAGTCTAACAGTTAAATTGTAGAAAATAAGGACTTTTGATATTTTCTTATTGTTATTCCCCAGTATGTAAGCATCAAATTAGCATACCTGTGGACTATATTGTGTTAGAATGTTTGATTTTAAATATTCAGCCAAGATTTATTTCTTTATGTAAAAAGTAACAAGCACAACTATTTCATTAGTATGCAAACTGGCTTTCTTCTCCCATGAATGGTAAAATTACATGTATACCAAAGACTTGTTTTAAAATAAATGTATGTGTGCAATGTGTGCATGTGTATGTGTACATATGCATGCATGAGTGTGCTCACTTGTCTGTGGACATGTGGACATCAGAGGCCAATCTGGGTTATCTTTCTCCATCACTCCCCACTTTATTTCTTGAGACAGTTTCTCTCACTGCTAGATCTTGCTGTTGGGGCAGGTTGGCAGGCCAGGGAGCCCCCAAGACCTGAATATCTCCACAGCCCTAGCACTTTGGTTACAAGTCCACTCCACCATGCCCAGTTTTTATGAGGTTGCTAGGATCCAAATTCAAGTGCTTACGTTTGTGCAGCAAGCACTTTTAGCCACTGATCCAGCTCCCACCAGACGAAATTTCCCTGAGCTTTAGGGAAAGTTCAGTGTGTAACGGTGCCTGCTGTCAAGGTTGATGACCTGCGTTTGATCCCCTGGATCCACCTAACAGAAGGAGAGAACTGATGTCCACAAGTTGTCCTCGGTCCTCCGCATGCTGTGGCTTGAGCATGCCCACACTGATACACACACACACACTCATATAATCAATAATAAGTTAATGCAATAACAAACACTAATTTTCTTACCATTTATTATCAGTAAATGTTTGATTTGAATGTCTATGTATATAGGTTATGTAAAAGGTTATGTCAAAATTTCTAAAGTGAAAATGGGCAACAAGTGAAGAAAATCTAGAAGTCCTGCGCTAGTCTGTGACACCGTGGCGTCATGCTTGGTGGTCCCGGAGCATGGTGGAAAGGATGCAGGGTCACACGGCCAGACTGAGCAGCACCACACAGCAGGCTCCTTCAGTGTCTCCCCTTCCCCTTTCCTCTCCACGGGCTCACAAAAGCACTGCCTCAGCTAACACGTGCAAAGACCCCCCTCCCCCAGATCGTGACTCCGAGGCGCCTAAGCAGAACACAGGCTGAACTCAAATCCTGTTGTTCTAGGCGCTTCTGAATATGATTTAATCTACCTGATTTTTGTGTGGATTATTCATGGCCAGGTTGTGTTCAGAGTGGATTCTGTGCTGGATGATGAAGGAACATTACATCCCTTAACAGCACAATCCAATTGCACTCAGGAAATGCAGTTATTTTAATATCATTGAAAACCAAACATAATTAAGAATGTGAATCTTCCCAGAAAAACATCACATGACATATTCCAGAAAGCTATCTAAATGCCTGTTAGTTGAGCTGATGATGTGGCTTATCTAAGCTACTTCAAATATTTAAAGTATAAATATTAATTCAACTGTTCTTCAAATGTTTAACGTGTAATGCATTTAGAAAAGCAACTGGATTTTTCACATTAATTCTGGCATTTTAGCATCTTTGTTTTTGTTTGTTTAGTTTTTGTTGTTGTTTGTTTGTTTACGAGACAGAGTCTCACTATGTAGCTCTGGCTGTCCTAGAACTCACTATGTAGACCAGCACGACCTTGAACTCAGAGAGATCTGCCTGCCTCTGCCTCCCGAATGCAGGGATTCAAGGCATGCACCACCATGTCCAACTACATTTTAGCATCTTGAAGATGTGGTGTGGTGAAAGGAAATTAGAAACAAGATGGGACTGAGGCTTAGACTGATGCCAAAACACCAAAACAAAATAGACCTCAGTCCTGATGGGTATCTCCCTCTCACCCCCAGGAATACATATGCAGAGCATTTGGTTTGCTTTGTTTCCTCTGTGTGAAGCTCGATGATTTCTCATGCAACAGTGCGGTGCCAAGAGGAGTTGTAATGAGAAGAATAAACACCATAAAGCTGGCAGGGGGCTTCAAGACACAGAGCCAGAGGACTGGGCTAGGCAGTGGGAGGCTTTCCTCTTCACCTCTGGCATGAAATCTGCCTCCTCCCAGTGACTTCAGAAAAATGCTCCAGCTAGTTCATTTTATTTTTATTTCATTCTTTTGTTTTTGTTTGGTTTTTCTAGGTAGGGTTTTGATGTGTAGCTTTGGAACCTGTCCTGGAACTTGCTCTATAGACCAGGCTGGCCTTGAACTCACAAAGATCCATCTGCCTCTGCCTCCCAAGTGCTGGGTGGGATTAAAGGCAGGTGCCACCACTGCCCGGCTTTAGTTCATTGCATAGAAATTCCTGCTTTAACTCTAAGCAACACTGACCACTTGGATCTTATATATTGAATATACATATAGTCTGAGGACATTTCTAGGGAAGGCTCGCTAATATTCCATTTTTAAGAAATTTCTAAGTATTATCATCAATCTAACAACTGAGCAAACATGTATAAATTTTTAGCTGAAAAAATTGAGCTAATATCTCAAAATTTCATATTTTTATATTCTGTACCATTCTTTTGTAAGAACATTAGAACCACTTGTCCTCTTCCATAAAAACAAAAGCCGACAACAAATGGACAACCACTCAGTGTAATCTACACAGGTGTGTTATTTGCAGCCCAAACTATACTAATTACAGAGAACTACTAAGAAAACTTCACATGTAACAAATAAAATACCTCATTACTTCTAATTTAGCTAATGAACAGTCCATATGTGTAAAATATTTTTGACATTTGATTCTGTACAAAAGAAATAGACATGGATCTCATGTATTATTTGTTATTTAGGTCCACCATAGCATTTGAACAAAGTAATGAATCATTTTATGTGGTTTTTACTAATTAAGCTTCTCTCGGACTTCTGGCGTAGTGTTGTGAAATGTCATCGGGGAAGCTGCTTTCCACTGTGACTTCTCTCCCTGTCCACACTGCTTCGTCGTGCCTTGTCCTAACACACGGCTTTCGGCTGACTTTTTTGCTATGGTTTTCATCACATGACATTCAGATATTTCAAGTCATCCTATTTGGGGAGCAATAAAGAGCACGTTAAATATAACTTCATCTAGCTGAGTTTGGTAGCACATGCTTGCCACCCTGGCCCTGGGGAGGCTGAGGAACGAGAGGGTAGTGCACATCTGAGGCCAGCTTGGACGACCCACAAGGTACTATCTCAGAAAAGCCAAGCTGTTTCAGCAGACAGTACGGAGGGCACCCATAGGCAGAAAAAGAAAGAAGGAGGGGGGAGGGGAGACACAAGTGAACCTTGGCTTACACCTCACACTTTATACAAAAATGAATTCACAAACTTGGCATCCAAGTTAAAACCTTTACTTTGCAAAAGAGGCTCTTGAGAGGACGAAAACTCCAGTGAGCTGTGCTCTTGTCCTGAGTCCTGTGTGAAGGTAAAAGGAGAGGACCGAGTCCACTAGGTTGTCCCCTGACCTCGACACATGCACTGTGGCGTGCCCGCCCCACCACCATGCACACACTATAATAACAACTTTCACAAACGTAAAAACTCAGCAGTGCAAAGCCAAGCAGTGGAAGCAGAAAGCAGGCCAATAATACAAGCAGGCTCTTCACCCATCAGATAACAGACATGGCCGACAGGCAGGTAAGAAGGCGTTCAATGTCATTAGGAGCCAGGGCAATGCAAATTAAAACCACGATGAGCTCTCACTGTAAACATGCCACAACCGTTGTCATACATGGGTCAGGCATGGTACCGGACGCCTATATTCCTACGACTCGGTGGTGGAGGCAGGAGTATTGGTCATTCTCATAGTGAATTCTAGGTGAGCTTGGGTTATATAAGCTTCTGTCTCAAACAAGACACCACACACACACACACACACACACACACACACACACACCAAAAAACAACCTTGAGGAGGACATGAGCAGTTGGATCATTAATTAATTACTGGTGAGACATAAAATGGCAAAGCTAGATGAGCAGTGGTGGCGCACGCCTTTAATCCCAGCACTCGGAAGGCACAGCCAGGTGGATCTCTGTGAGTTCGAGGCCAGCCTGGGCTACCAAGTGAGTTTCAGGACAGGCACCAAAGCTATACAGAGAAGCCCTGTTTCAAAAAAACAAAAATAAATAAATAAACAAATAATAAATAAATAAATAATAAAATGGCAAAGCTGCTTTGGAATAGCTTGGCAGTTTCTTTAATGAAATAACCCCCATGAAAGTAATACAATTATCTTAAACCTGTCCCCCAAATAACCAGCATCCACCTCATTTTAGATACCACCATTACTACTGATGCTGGGTCTTTTTAGATCTATCTACCTGTTCGGGTGGGGGCCTAGTCTAGTTTCATTTCTGTAGCTGAGATGAAATATCCTGACAATAAGCACAGAGGAGAAAGGGTTAGAATTGGGGGAAGTCCCAATGGAAGGAGCCCGAAGCAGCTAGTGAAATCACGTATATAGTCAAGAGCAGAGAGAAACGAATGCACACATGCTCACTTGTGTAGTGGGTAGCCATTCCAGCTTGGATCTGGAAGTTCCAACCCCCATTGAGACTCTGGCAACTGTCACGCCTACGAGGCGGGGCAAGGGGAGGCGCCTGGAGACCCCAGAGCTGGATGGGCCAGCGCTCTCTCTGTGCGCTCTCTCTGTGCCGGGACGCTGAATTGTGCAGAGCTCCGGAGAACACCGCTGGACTGCGATACACCTTCCCCAGACCCTGCGACCTACCTTTCACTTAATTTGTGAGTTACGCCATTAAATAAATATCCTTTTAACTACGTGGAGTGGCCAAAATAATTTCTTCAATACACTTGCTTTCTTGCGCTTGCCTTGGTTTCTCTACTTTTAGGCAGCTCAGGACCACTTGCCTAGGGAATGGTGCCTCTCACTGTGAGCTGGGTCTTCTCATATCAATTGTCTTATTTATGACAATCCCCCAGACATGGCCACAGGCAACTCAAACGAGACAGTCTCTCATTATCCCAGGAAATTCATGGTTGTGTCAAGTTGACAAGTCAAGCTAACATCACTATAGGCCATTTCTCTCAGGCATGATCCTTAGCACTGTTACAACTTATCCTCCTCTTCCCCATTCTCCGCCTCCTTCCTTCCCCCTCCCTCTTCTTCCTCTCTATAAACCCAGTAGACTATAGTGAAGTACCTAGCACACTGTCCCAAATATGGAGCTGGCGGGTCAACACCACAAGCTACCATCAAAGAAAATGATCAGTAGAATGTGAACAACACGAACCTGTGCCTGACCGCCACCCACTCTCCAGTCAGCTGGCTAAGCTCGTGTCCTGGCTTTCGCTGCTTCTGTGGAGGCTGGATCAGGAGTCCTTCCTTTCTTTAGCAAACTTCATGTGAGGTTGAGAAATGCTGTTCATTCCCACTCCAGCTTTCTCATATTTCCAAGGTATTCTTGCTCAGTGTTATTCCTTTCATTAAAGGGTCTCTTTTGGTTGACGACCCACTGGACTCTGCAAAAATCCTCCACTGACTTTCTCCTAAAATACTTTCAACTCTCAACAAGGGAGTGGAGGCAGCTTGGGTCCTTTCTCCTTATTCTGCAGCTACAACCTAGGCCCAACTATCAAGTCCAGTGCTTCCCCTGAATTCAATTCAATTATAAAAATATATTCATCATGTCTCAACAAAGTATCCTGAGTCCCAGATTCTTCTCTGAGCTACACACAAAGAAAAACTGCAAACTCTCAGACTTCTGTTTGGATTTTCTTATTGTGTGTGTTACCTTTGGACACATGAGAAAAGCATTTGTCTCCTAGCAATACCACTTGAAAGGAAAAGCATCCTTCAGCAACTGGGAGCATTACATACTATGCTGAGACAGTGGAGGAGGTAAAAAGATGGAGAGAAATGGTTGTTGGGTATCAAGAATGGATGGGGAATCAGATGACCCAATTTAGAACAGAATTTCACCATATACCAGAGTACATTCTTGGACAGATTAACCTCTGAAAGCTTCAGCTTTGCATCTGTCAATACAGATATTAATGTATACCTCCAGGATTAGAATAGCACATGGTTGGTGCCTCACACAACAAGCTATCCCTAAGTGGTCACAGTCAATGGCATCTGAACCTCGTAACCCAGTACTGCACTAAGTCCCGGGTCTAGGTTGCTGCAGCCCCTGGGGCACGAGCTCTGGAGACAGCTGCTTCTAGACAGGTTCTGTGGCATGGTCGCTTGTTCACATCTGATGTAATGATTCCAAATTTAAGAGTTCAGGACCATGTGTGTACTCCTCAAATCAAGCAATATGTTTGAAAGTCAGAAAATGCACCTGGCTGGTTCCTGCATAGGCCACAGTGCAATTTAGAACACAATTAAGGTACAGAGTCACTGGCTGTCACGGCATAAATTCTGCAGAGTGCTTTCACTTGAAGAGCACAATGAAAATACGATGCTTGGCTAAGGAGACAGAGGCTATTCCAGACAAAATAGCAGTAATGTCTTTTACTAGCCCACAGAACAGCTCTTCCTGTTACTCCTCAAAGCATTAAGAAGCTTTTAGCTCTGAAACACGTTTTCGCAAACATGGGGAAAACAGGCAGTAGGGGAGGTGTGCAAACACGGAATTGCGGGACTCTACTGTACAGTGCTGCTGAAGTCACCAGGGGAGTCAGACAGGGAACATCCTGCCCTGTTCTGGCTACTTCTCTCTTCTTTCCCAGAAGCTGACCCAACCTCTCTTTTATGCTTTAGATCAGCTTATTTCCCAAACCATAACATTTTAAAATTATTTTATTTTTCCTTATGTGTGTATTGTACATGTGTGTGTTGCACATATGTGTGCAGGTACACATGCATGTGTTTATGCAGGTGCACAGTGCCTATGTGTACGTGTGTAGAGGCCAGAAGGGGATCGTGGGTGCTCCCCTCTCTCATTCTCCATATTATGACCTTGAGGCAGGATTTCTCACTGGACCTCTTTCCACTGGGCTGCTGGCCAGCAAGCTCCCAGGATCCATCTCCCAGTGCTGGAGCTGCAGGTGCTCCGGGCCACACCTGGCTTTTTACACGGGTCCTGGGGATCCAAACTCGGGTCCTGTGTTTGTGCAGGAAGTGCTCTTACCCAGTGAGCCATCTCTCCGGCCCAGATTACCTTTTTTATTAATGCTACTAATGATGAGTCGGTGTTTCTGAGAACTCGAGGGTGAGGTGTGCTAAAGCCGACAACGAAGCTTTTGAGTGAGACACCCTAGCACAGCTGTGGTACGGCACTGACAGGAGAGAGAAACCGATTGTGAGCGCCGTGAAAACGTGGTACAGTAACTCTTGCACTGTGAGCCTCAGTCAGGGTTGGTTCAGGCAGTCTGCGGTACTGATGCTGCCGTGTGAAGGCTACCCATCCCTCTCGACTGCATGGTCCAGGGCTGACTAACTGAGCAGGTGAATCCTATGGTCTGGGGAGGAGGCTATGCAGTAGGGGAGCTGGAGAGCTCTGGGTTTGGGAGCAGAAACGTTATGGCCACATAAGGTGTTATATGGCGGGAAGAGGGAGCCCCGAAAGTGGGCAAGTCACTGTTGTAGAACAGTGAGTGCTGCTGAGATCTCTCCTTTTCTACATTACTGCCCAGGACCAAACCTGTTGCATAGAAATTGAGAAAGACATCAATAGACATGCAACTTCATCTGAGTTCACAGGTATCACCGTGATTCCCAAACAAGTTCACAAATTCTTGGATATGCTTCCCACTGAAGGCAAAGGTTTGTCTGTTTCCCTAACCACGAACACGCTGGAAGCGATTCTGCACAATTTCCAAGGCTGCTCAGAAAAGGTGATGCAACTTTCTCTCCTCCACACCCTGAGACCACATGGAGGGCCCACACAGGGAGTCCCCAGAGGAATGGAGAGCAAGGCCTGGACAAACACAACTGTGCCAGCCTCCAACTAGTTATCTGAGCCTTCCCTAGATCCCCCCAGAATATAGGGCATGTAAATAATTATTGTATTCCTCTCTACTTAAGAAATAATGGTTTTTAGATTTTATTTTACTTCAAAAAAGATGTATTTTATGCGTGCGTGCGTGTGTGTGTGTGTGTGTGTGTGTGTGTGTGTGTGAGAGAGAGAGAGAGAGAGAGAGAGAGAGCGCCAGAGAGCGCCAGAGAGCGCCAGAGAGAGTGTGGGTGCTTGCATATGCACGTGGGTAGCCACAGAAGCCAGAAGAGGGCATTGGATCCCCTGAAACTGGAGCTAGAGACAGTTTTGAATTGTCTGCCGTTGGGAACCATACTGTGGTCCTCTGTAAGAACAGAATGTGCTCTTAGCCACTGAGCCATCTCTCCAGCCCTAAAGAAGTAATTTTTAAAAGAGCAGGTTCAACAGCATAGATTCAGTTCCAAGAGCTAACAGGACCCTAGTGTTTTAATATATGTCCTGAAAACGGCTGGGGGGCCAGTCTTTGACAAGAGCCTCATGGCTCCTCCACCCAAAGAGGCTGTGCTTTCTTGAAAACATCTCAGAGTCTTCTGCAGGACTTGGATGATTGTCCAGGTTCAAACCAAAAAAAGCCACCGTGGGCTTTTAGCATTTAGCATCACATAACATCTGCCTCGCTCATTAAGATGTAATATTTTAATTGTTCTCCACAGTAAGGACTAACTGGTGTTTATGAGCATTACATAACTTAAAACAAAATGCAGAATATTGTTGTGTAATGGAGATCTCCAAAAATTTTTTATTACGATTGTTTTGAATCAAAAGTATTTTTTTTCTTTTTTGGTTTTTTGAGACAAGGTTTCTCTGTGTAGCCCTGGCTGTCCTGGAACTTGCTCTGTAGACCAGGCTGACCTTGAACTCACAGAGATCTGTCTGCCTCTGCCTCCCTCTGGGATTAAAGGTATGAGCCACCACTGCCCAGTTTGGAAAAGCACATTTTTTAAAAAGTCAAAGGTTATTTTTTTCTTATTCCTGAGTCTGACTTTCTACCTCTTTTTCTCTTCTAAAAACCTCCATCCTCATTGGCTCTTAGACTCCACTCCATCCTAGCATTGCTCTGAAGTTGACATGTTCTACCTTGGTTACCTCGTGGACTTACAGGGCTCTAAGCAGAGGTCATAGCTAGGAAGGACTGAGTACAAGCCTGTGAACTATCTCCTAGAGGTTCATTTATCATCTCTGACTCTATACACTGTTGTTCTTTGAAGGGCCTGGAGGATATTACGTAAAGTCTTTCCAACTTCAACTTTTCATAGGTCAGAAACACCCAGGGGTTTTGGGTTTTTAATGTAACTTCCTTAGATAAAAGTCAGTTTCCGTTTTCCAGTCCGGGAAGTGGATGTCTGTAATACAACATAAATTACACAGTTTCTGATTTTACTGTCTAGACACCATCAACCTCCTTAACACTGCCTTCTCTGTCAAGAATCTGGGCAGAGCCCAAAAAAACTGATGTCCAACTAAGCTCGGAAATATATTTCTTCCAATGAAAGCTGGCAAGGCTCTGCTGAGCGTGTTTGAAGCCAAGGAAAAACAGGACTGGAAAATCAAGAGAGGGAGGGAGGAGAAGAGGGAGAGGAAGAGAGAGAGGGGGAGAGACAGAGACAGACAGACAGACCAATCGCTTTCACAGACTGACAAGGCCCTATAGCACCAAGAGCTTGAAAGGCTTTCTTTTCTCTCCCGGCTTCTGAATAAAGACAGGAATCATCCTGCAGATGAGCACTGACATCTGTAGAGCTTCCCTTACCAGTGGCAGCCTCAAGAACACAGAGAAAAAGAGAAGCACACACTCCAGGAGGAAAGAACGCTCGCCTGGACTTCTACAGCTCCTGTCTGAGCTGAAATCCATCCTTGTACACAGTAAGAATGAGAGAATTACAGGTGACAAGTTCTGCAGGGTTCACTGGGCTGCAGATCCTGAATAAGGCTCAAGATTCCCTGCTTCCCCCCCCCCACACACACAGAGGCACACACACACACACACACACGCACAGGCATGCACAGGCACACAAGCACACACACGCGCGCACGCACACGCACACACACACACAGAGGCACACATACAGAGGCACACACACACACACAGGCATGCACATGCACACACACGCGCGCACACACACACACACACATACCCCACACACAGGCACACACATGCACAGGCACACACGCGCACCCCCCCCCCACAGGCACACACACGCACAGGCACACACCCACACTCACCCACCCCCACCCCTCCCTCACACACACACACACACACACACACACACACCTGTAGCTGCTCTCTTCCCAGCTGGCTGAGGGACTGCTGCATGACCTTGGTGATGGAGATGACCGATGTCATACACTGCACTGGGCCAGTATCTCGTTCCCCACTGAATAACTTCAACTCTGTGATGCCTCTGTAGAGCAGGGTTCACAGGAAGAGGTTTGTCCTCAATCCCACTTAAGAAGGATTACTTTCTGAAGTTCCACTCGGGGGCGCGTGGTGATATTTTGCTTATAAACTGCACTCCGTTATCGCAGCCCCCCCTTCATTTTCACGGGAACCACTATTCTATCTACATATGAGAAAACTCAGGCTCATGAGGACCACGGCCACAGCCACATATTCAAAAAGAATAAAGAGAAGCTTAATAGATACGGGGCTCCCGACCTCAAATCTTCCATTGCTCCCGCAATTCTAAAGCTGTCACCCACATAACAGGCGGCCCCCCCCGGGGGGGGGGGAGGGGATTAGTGAATGTGAACCCTAAACTGTACTGACCACAGTTTACCTGATTCACCTAGAGGTCACTGAGCACTGACTGTGGGCCGAAGGTCACAGGTGCTGTGCTGTAGGAAGAAAGTTGATAGTAGACAAAGGAAGACCATCACGCAATAAATACTACAAGGAAGTAGCGCACCAAGTCCAAAGACGGTGACTCTGCGAGTCTGTGAAGGTGACGCACATCTGAGTCGTTCAGTGGGATGAATCCAGCCATTAAGAAAATGATTGTTGTTTCTGTTATCATTATCATTATTGATACGGGTGCTCCTGTAGCTCAGGCTGATCTAAACTTGCCATGTATTGGGGGAGGACCTTGAATCCCTGGTCATCCCGCCTCATCTCCCAAGTGCTGGAATTACAGCTGAGTCGCTACAGTTGGCACACAAAACGTACTATTTTTAAGTCCAGGGAGAAGGGTGTGGTGGGGATGTGACCCGGGCATAGAAAGGCTGCCTAGCATGGGCACAGAGTTAGACCCTGTGTTCAGTCCCCAGCACAGTGTAGTGAACGGGAGGAAAGGAGCTAGAAAGGAGGAGAAGAGAGGAGGGGGAGGAGGAGGAGGAGGAGATGCAGGGAAGAGGTGTTGGTGGGGAAAGAGAGGTAGATTGGAGTTCTCTGCAGTTTTAGCCCTGGACCGGGTATTTAGGAACCTTGACATCCATGGATCTGCAGGCAGACCGTCTGCATCAAATTAGGAGAGATGGTTAACATTAAAAGCACAATTAAGATACACAAAATAAAGAGGTCCATCTGTCCTCCCCATAGCGTGTGGTGACATGATGTCACATTTTAGAGCTGACGAATTGACCCCATAGCTAAACGCCATCTGCCACTCTGACCACTTTTAGAATGGAACCTTAAAGTAACACAAGCCAGTGGAGACATCTGGAACACGCCTCCACTTTCTCCCCAGACTTCTCTAACTGCAGCCTGTTAGATGTTGACACATGCGCTGAGCTGTCCTGCCTCCGCCGTTGCTTGTTATCATGACTAAGCGGGTACTTTCAGGAAAAGGGAAAGTTAAGCATCAGCCCAAGGACCTAAGCCCAGTTTTGGTATGACCCTCTGGCAACACCACGACCAAGGCAGGAATGGGGATGCCTTCCAAGCTCAGCACCTCAAGTCCGGTCCTTCTTGTGTGCTCCTGTGCATTCGCCTGTCCCACCTCCTCCATCTCTAACTCCTTCCATCCTTCCCACCAACCTCCAAACCTAACTTACATCTTAACACACCCTCCCCCACCCCTGCCCCAGACAGGTTTCTCTGTGTAACAGTCCTGGCTGTCCTGGAACTCACTTTGTAGACCAAGCTGGCCTCAAACTCAGAGATCTGCCCGCCTTTGGCTCCTGAGTGCCTGGATTAAAGGTGTGCACCACCACTGCCCGGCTTACCACAGTTCTGAGTAGAAACTGAGGGTTTCTTTTCTAGTCAGTTCCTCCCCTTTTTCCTTTGGCTTCCCTTTGTCCCTGGTCTTCCTAGTGTTCACTCTCCCTACAGCGATAGCTTTTAGATGACGTCTTATGTTTCACCCCAGGGCAGGCTACCTTTGAACAGGAGGGAAAGAAAGGACGTCATCCCTGCATTTCCAGAAAGACAACGACGCTGTGGCCTGCTCACCCACACTGTCTTGCACACAGTTGGGTGTTTGGATTCATGCAGCAGGAGGCCAGAAATACATGAGACACTGTCTGCCTATTTATACACAAAACCATGTCTGCGGGCAGACTCCATTATAAGCAAACCCACTTTGACCTTTGAACCTTGAAACTAAGCTGATGGAATCTAGGTTGGGAAATTGTCTTAAACCCAGTGTACTCACAGGTTGGCCAGCTACCAATGATTTGATTTTGTAGCTTGACTCAGCAAATTAATAGAGGCTCATGAGGCCGGGGTGGGCCACAAGTTATTAGCAGCTCAAGTAATAGATAAATGGGCAGAAAGAATCATAGCGATCCCTAGAGAGAAAGAGGTGGGAAGTCAGACTCCATGATCCTAAGGATCATGTGATTTCAAACAGAGTGGAACTCTAATTGTTCTCTTTCTTAAGTGGGCAAGGGTAGTTCTCTGTTGTTTTCAACCTAAGAGAAAAAACATTCTGACTAGAACATAAAATCAGTAACTCAGTAATATGACGGCTAGTCTTAGCCTGGAGGCCAATCTCTTTCATCCCGAGGCTTGCCAAAGATTCAAACTGAGTTACCAGGAATCCAGTTACCGAGAATCACAGGTTTAGTCAGTCTGAATTATGCAAAATGTGACCCTGGCCTTTGCTCTCCGAGTTTCCTCATGCGCACGCCAACTCTCGATGCAAATGCTGGAATGGTTTCTTCTTGGCAAATCCACTCTCTCCTTTCACAAGCACCAGCCGGAGGAGGCGGCTGCGCTCCTGTCTCCGTCTCTACTTCCGTCATCCCGAGGAGACCGTGGAGATCTCACACGTTTTTCGTATAAAGCAGTAAACATCCAGCAATTATGATCAGGAGCTGCAATCTCATTCCCCTCTCTTCGCCGGGGCCATTATTTCAGGTTGCTATCCTGGCTAACCAGAGCTGTGCTTTTATCATCCCCGGGCACACTCTTTAATTCTCTCAATCAACTGTGCTCTCAAAGACACAGACCAGCAGGGATTCTTGCCAAGAGTGAGAGGTTCTGAGAACAGGTTTTATGTTAGAGGTCTGTGGAGTGTTCACTTCCTCCTCACACTACCCACCTGTGTTTACAAGCCAGCACGCCTCTGCGGATTGCATTCGGTCCAAATCATCAGAAGAGAAATTCCACGTGAGTGACTGGCATCTTCCTATGAAGGAATGTTCGGCGGCACAGAGCAGCCCTACATACACTCCCACCACGGCCCAGTACAGCCCACCACGCCACTGACCTTTCTGTTCAAGGGCCTGCATCCTTCCTTTGTTCCATTCTTCACTGTATGGAATTGCAATAATGTGAACAATTTTTCTTTTACAAAAAAGTCATAGAACACAGGAAATCTACAGTAACAGTTTTGACAACTGAGATGTTCATATTTTAATCTGCTTAATTAAACATGGTAAAATTGCTTTTCCATCAGCAAATGTCATTCTGCTAAATTGCACCGAAGTCAGTTTAATGAGAGATCCAAGTTCCTTGATTAAACTTGGCCAGAAAGATAACATGTGAGTGATCGCTACCACAAGAGGGGAGAGACAGAAGGGAAAAGGAGGTGCGCGTCTCATTTGTCATGTGACCCTAACCTTCCCCGTAGCTTTAATCTAATGCAAAGGCCTGCTGGTCCAGAGTCCAGCCACTAGACTGGCTCACAAGCCAGTGCCCAGGGATGGTCATAACTCTGGACAAAGGAAGAAGAGGCAGAGTAGAGACTGGCACCAGAGACTCTCACAGGAGGGCACAGGCTGGCACCAGAGACTCTCACAGGAGGGCACAGGCTGGCCCCAGAGACTCTCACAGGAGGGCACAGGCTGGCAGGTACATCCAGCATAGGGTAGGCTGGTATGCAGCCCAGTGATTAACCAAGCAGATGCACAGGAAGGGCTGGCAGAACATGGCACCAGAGGTCTTGGCAGGAAGTTTTAGGGATTCCACAACTTCAGGGGTCAATCTTTGGGTCTCGTGTTGACCCTGACAGGAAACAGCAGAGGGTGGTAGTAAGTGTAAATCCAGCTAATGAAACCAACTGACAGTCTGAGCATATGGAGGAACAATGGCCACCCCAGGGCAGCCCAAACAGCAGGAATGACCAGGCTGACCAACTGATCTAGAACAGAGACCTCATTTCCTCTGTTCTTAGCAAGACATTGACTGCTCCTAGAGCGTGGATCAGGGCCAAGCCAGCTGCTGAGAGGGCTGGATTTACAGTCCTGGTGCAAATTAGGGCTGCGCATGAGACATTGCTGCTTCCTCCTGTGGGTGGAAGTCTCACCTGGAGAAGGTGGGTTACACCAGAGGGCATCTACAAACCTGGGGGCTGGACCCAAGCACAAGAGAGTGTCATGTTTGGTCGTGAGAAATTCACACTGGTGGGCGGAGTCTTTGGAGAGACGGGTGGTCTTAGAAACAAGTAGGAGGGCTTCGAAAGGTATGAGAGGGTGAGAGAGTGAATGAAAGAGAGTGGGACACACACACACACACACAGAGAAAGAGAGAGAGAGAGAGAGAGAGAGAGAGAGAGAGAGAGAAGTCAGAGCTGGCCAGAGACAAGTACCTGTGGGGTTAGCATTTGGGGCAGGATTTTAGTGTCCTCCAGCATTTTAATAAGACGAAAACCAGAACTGCACCACCAGCAGCAACAGCACGTGTGATCCCCCAGTTTCTTCTGAGCACAGGAAACATCGGTTCCGAGCCCATACAGGATTGAAGAGAGAAGCATCGGGAGCCGGGAGTTTGCCCACGCCTTCACGGACGGGAAAGGACTTAGTTATGGGGTTAAGGGAGCTGGGACTCCAGGCCAGGCATGTCACCCTGCCTCCCTCCTGCCACACACGGGGACCACAGGGCCTGTGTGCCCTGCGGTCCCTCACCGCGGCACAGGTGCACAGAAGTGAGCTGAGTGCAGCTTTTGTCGCCGGGGTCTGTGACGCTAGCTAAGCCACGGACTTAGGGAAGCCACTGTTTCACAATCTGTGTCCCAACCTCCATGTGCTTTTCAGAGACTCTCTCCTGGATCGTCTGTGCGAAAGCTGCACAAAAAGCTGGTGTGGTGAAGGTGGAATTAACTCTGAGGGGGCAGCTTCCTTCTCGGAGCAGGAAGCTTCTCAGTACTCCTGCTCAAACCGGTTTTCATCACTCCTCTGTGCTCACAAGTTAAGGTCAAGACCCTCCACAAGCTGTCTAATTATTTGGACTAGATCTCTGCCAGTAAATATTCAGCATGGCTAGAGACAGAGACAGCCTTCTGTGTTTCTCCTGGGTGTGGAAGGTTCCTGAGCTAGCTGTATGGATGAGGGGCAGAGAGAGGTAGCTGCTGTCCAGAAACAGTGTCTTCAGCAGGAGAAGGCCATGTCTCCGTGTTCTAACATTGGTCAGCTGACTCTTGGGGGTATCAAGCTATGGTTATAGTATTTATATTGATAGTGTCTTAAGAATCCTAATTCCCTAACAATGGACTGAGTGTTCACGGCTGCTCTCTGCCAAAGTTACCAAATGCCTTGGCTTTGGAGAAGAAACATTGGCTCTTCGTCACAACCTTAGGACTGCTATGGTTGGCCCTGGTTTGAATGTAACCCTAAAAGGCCCCTGGTCTGGAAGCTTGATTTCTGTGTGAGAGGTGACTGGGTCACAACTACTCTCATGAATGGATTAAGAGCATCCCATGGGAGATTAGCCTAAGTTGCTACCAAGAGAGCGGAGGCTTACAATGAGAGCAAGCTGGTGTGCCCCTGGTATCCTGCTTAGGATTTTTGTCGTCTTCCCTCTTCTGCTTTCTTACACTTGGGCCTCTTCCTGGCACAGAGCCCATTCCCTGCTGGAAGAGCATACCCTCACATGCACGCTGGCACCACGGCATTTAGACCATCCACCCGATGGAATTGTGAACCACCTCTGTGTTTTAAATCATTGAGACTCCAGTGTCTCTTTTGTCCTAACAAGCTGGATGACCTTGTAACTAGCTATTCAACCTTAAGATAACCATGTTCTCTTGTTTGAGGAGATAAAGGGAGCAAATGGGGTGTATTGGGGGTGCTGTCCTGGTGAGATGAGATAGAGGGGTACACACACAGCACACACAGCCTGATACCTGACAGGGCTTGGAGCACACCTAGCTCTGAGTTCTGCTAACGAGGTGCTGCTACTGCGACGGTCGCTCCTCTCCTGGTTCACCCCTAACCTGAACGTTTGCCATTTGCTCAACAGTCCCTTAGCCTGGGAAGATTCCACGCTCAGAACTGCCCCCAAAGACTGAGGGGCCATCTCAGGCAGCCATTGCTGGCTACTGGGAAGAACCACAAATGTCCTGGAACAGCAGGCTGTAGATGCTGAGTTTAATGTTCAAAGGCAACCACGATCCTTACAGACTACCTTTACACTCACGTCTTCATTCAAACTTCCCTAGTTACAGGCAGAAATTCTGAAACCCATGGCATTAGCCCTCAGCAACATGGCAGTTAATAAAGACATAGGGGGCTGATGAGATGGCTCAGTGGGCAAAACCTTTGCCGCTCCAGCCAGAGGATCTGAGTTTGGTCTCCAGTACCCACATAAAAAGCCGGGCATGGTGGCAAATGCCTAAAATCCCGGCTATCATCATATCATCCTAACCTAACTTGATTTACAAATGACTGGATCACTTCTAAGTGCACAGATTAACCCCACGGTGTTGTGTGAGCAAACCTCCATAAGTGAACCTGCCCGGTCACTGGGAAGAGTCCATGGCTCTCTCTACTGAGAGCTTGCTTTTCTTCTTCTGCCTTTACACTTTGCCACACATAGATAAGTGATTTCTCTTCCTACATGGTAATAAGGGCCCACTACCCTGACACCAAGCTTCCACCTACTTAGCTGTTTTTTGACCTGTCCTAAAATTTCATTGTTGAAACAGCAAAGATTGACAACAAAGACTAAAATGATAACGTTTAAGTTTTATTTGGGTCTATATAAATAGACTTCAAACCTCTTTACAAATTACAGGAAGCGATACACTTTACTGTGTGGTCTACAGCACACAGGGAATATGCATGTGTATCCATGTATAAATGTAACAAAGTTTACATCCAACTATCTTTGGCTATACTGTGAGCAGCAGGCATCCTCTGTCATGTCTCACAATACTCAAGTTCATTTGCTAAT